AAAAACAATGGTATAAAATAAAAATAAAAATAGGGCTTTCGCTTATATTCTCATTGAGTTCTTTTCACTTAGAAGTATGTAAATTTGTAAAATTTTGGAAAAACCCTTTTTTTCTTAGTGTGTGATTTCGTTTTTGACTTGGATATGCTCTTAACCATACCACGTATTCTACGTTTAAATATAGCGGCTGTATCTCCGATACAGCCTGCAGACCAAGACGAAGGCGCTGGACTGTTCCTTTTTTTTGTGGGCCAGCAGCAGCAGCAGCACTGTAGGGTTCTTTATTGTTGATGTTGTATCGATTTTTTCCGCTGCAGCTACATATACATATGTATGTATGTATGTATGTACATATATGTATGTACATAAGTATGTGTTACTAAGTCTTTGCGAATTTTTCAGCAGCGCCTGTGTTAAAGCCTCTACTGCGGCACACGCTCTGAAAATTCGTTAAAAGTGCTGTTGAGTCGAATCTCCTTTTAGTTTTCTTGCCTATCTGCCAATTCTTTGAAGGTTATAATTTGGCAAGCAATGGTCACACGCCTACCAAGGTTGTACAACTGCTGCGTTGGGTGTAATAGAAAAATTAAACGCTGCTGGAAAGTAAGCGAATAGAAGAGCAGAGAGAGTGTACTTTAATTAACACATAGCCCAAAGGGGCGTACCACTGCAAGGCTTTTGGAAAGCGAAAAAATGCAAGCAAGCAAACTCACCCGATCGAAGCATGGAATTTTGTTGTAAATTTGTGTTGCTTTCTTGTACACCGTAGTATATTCATTGCATTCCTTTATTATTAAAAATTTTTTCTCATTCATTTTTTATTGCATACTGATAACCAAGGCACTTTTTAATAACAATTTTATTTTCAATTTTTTGCTAACATCACATTTTCACAAATTTTTAACCTTTCACACAATGCTGTGTACTGTCTTGCATGCGAGCTCTTCTCCATTTGCTTTTTGCACTATGACTGCTGCAGCTTTCGCACAACTCACTGTTGCAACAGCACTGACAACCATTCGCCGCCGCTGACAAGGCTAAGCTGACTTCAGCCGCTTCGCAGGGCAGACATATCGTATTTTATCGACGAAGCTTTGTGATGTATGCAGGGTTGCCACTTTGGTAAATTGTTACCACAATTGGTAGAAAAAATTTGGGTTGGTAAAAGGTTAAATCTTTTCTCATTTTGGTCGATTTTTGTTGAAGTATTTTGTTTGAAAAACAATGAAAACTTTTCGTTCCCGCTTTATTTTTCGTAGTTATCTTTATAATATAAATTTCTTTCCAAAAGTGTAGTCTACTTTGCTGCGTTTATTTTCGATCGCTTTAATGCACAATTTTTATATAAAAGGCGAACATATCGTCCTCCACTCAAAACTCATTTTACTTGAGTCCTGAGGAGCTTTTAATGGCCTAAATATTTTTTGACGATTCTTTAGATAAAGGGCAAAAATGGGCAGGTATGCAATTAAACACTTATGATTGTTGGCAAAAAATTCAAAAATCAACGCCATTTTTTATCAACGGAAATTGTTATATGAAACAAAAAACGGCAAAAGACCGGAGGCAAACAAAAATTAAAAAAAAAATTTACGGTAATTTTTTGCCTCACATTGTTGGTTATACTAATAGCATGGGCTACAAAACTCCATACCTTAAATTGTTCTAAAAATTCAGAGTAAAAAGTTCGAAGTCTAGGCGAATTTTTTTTTTAATTTTTCTAAGTGTTGTATATG